GTCAAAAACAGACCGTGCCATATATCAGGTGACTAGCCGCTGGTTTCTCACCGCGGAACCACGGGTTCACTTCACGTGTGGTCTCATATGAGATTCATGGTTTATTAAATGGTACTTGAACATATTTTTTTCATATCCGCTTCGATTTTCCTTGCTAATCGTCATTCCATCATTGCTCCATAGTCACTTATCACCTCTCCCTGAGGTATAAGGTAGCCCTAACCAAGCAGGACATTGTAACATCCTTGGTCCTTTTGTTAGGAGCTTAATCTCTAGCACAACAATTGGGTAATGCAAGAATGATGAAGTTTCTTTTTTCAAGACAAAACATGGTATAACATTAATACCGTGCCTCATGAAAATCGGAATAGAATCAAATGGACAGACAGACATAAAATCTCCGTGGTTTTAGTCCGTAAGCGAACTATACCGACCAAGCAACCGCCGCTTTTCGGCAAAGTTAGTGCCAAAATTAACGGCCGTGGGGATTCGTTGCGCTGACCACGCGACACCCTCTATCCGCTAAAGTTGACAGACAGACATACGAAAGAAATAATCCCTTTGTATAGTTACTTACTTATGGAGCTGCGCCCTTCTTGAGGAGAAGCCAAATCTTCAGCTACTCAAGAATTTTCCAGCATTTTATGGAACCCGAAGGTTCATTACCGTGTTCACAAGAGCCCTCCACCGGCCCCTATCCTGAGCCAAATCAATCCAATCCATACCATCCCATCCTATCTCTCTAAGATCCATTTTAATATTGTCCATCCACCTACTCCTTGGTCTTCCCAGTGGTCTCTTTCCTTCTGGATCCCTTTGTATATGCGAGGAAAATACATTACGTACATATCATTATGTCGCATGTCCAGCAATATCAAGGGGACACGTAAGTCACAGTCACAGTCACACAGCGCATGTCCTTTGCTCTCCTCAGCGCCTCTCATTGTGGGTTGGCACTGGCCGCATGCCAGAAATAGAGTCGATGAGTGCAAACGCGTTGTTTAGGTTGCAATGTATGTAATCTGAAGTGAAGTACAGGGGCATGAAGAAAAGGAACGACGTGTTGTTTGAGCCTATGTACAAATTTATCTACAGAATCTCGTCTATAATATAATCAGAATTTCACTGCGTCCTTCATTAGAATTCCTTTCTTGGTGGCCAAGGAAATCTCAGCTGTTAGTGTTAAAGTGTTACACCCCAGTGGCATTAAGTATATCTCTTCATGGAAATGCGTGAGCAGACGCGTAAATAGTAGCGTCTAGTTCCTGAGATCCCGAAGTAACGAGATCCTTTCTTCAGAATCCCACTTGTGTCTGACCGTCAGTTTCGGATATAAATATTATATACAGTAATGTTTCCACTTTATTGAAATTCTGATTGGGGCACGCGGTTGCGTAGTTGGTTGAGACATTATGCTACAAGCCGTTACCTAGCAACGCTCTGGTCATCGACGTTACAATATTTTAGTATGAAAAACTGAAAGGATGAGGTCACTCGGAAGACGAAACCATAGCTGGGATAATGTTGCAAAGAAGCATACACAGGGCATGTACCTTTTTGAGGTCTGTTCAGTCTTGAACCTCAGTGACAGCAAGATATCTAGACTCACACTCCACACACCTTTAATTCTAATAAGAGTAAACGCCCGTTGCTCATTCGATCCTGTGCTTGAAGGCCGGACATAATAATAGTCTCGACTTGGATACGTGATTATGAATTAGATAAATATTAATTTGACTGTAGCATATTGTGTTTTGGGCTTCCCTGAGCATTCAGACAATTTTATGAGATGGAAGGGGGGAAAAGTGTGAAAATGTAAGCCGTAAAAATTGAGATTTTCGCAGACATTTAATGAGTTCGGTTACTTGATAAACATGCACACAGTAAGCGGCTGCATCTTGAATTATCTAACCGACTTGTTCAAACGCCTTTTCTTTGACTTAAGTTTTAAGTATGCGTCTCCTCATTGCGCTTTCTGAGGAAATATTTTGTTTTGCTAAAACCATAGGAAATGTTTATTGCCAAACCTGCAAGCAAGTTCTTATTTGAGCGTTATGAAACACATTTTTTGAAAGGCAAGAAGGGGGTAAAAGTATTTTTTTTTCTAAGTACCAGGCCACGAAGACGCATAGGAGAGTGGAGATATAGCTCCACGCTTTCTTCAGCCTCGGCGCTGGATGAATGTGAATGGTCAGCTTCACACCCCTACCCCTTTACCCCTGGGGATAAAGCCCCTTGTAAGATAAGGCAAAGTTTTCCCTATGCTTAACTAGTTAAGCACTATGCCATGAAGACGTATGGGAGAATGGAGGTAGAGCTCCGCTATTTTTGACATCGGCACTAGATGAAGGTGAATGGTCACCTTAACGCCCCTGCCGCTTTACCTCCAGGGAAAGAGCCCCCATTATCCATTGGATAGGAGGTTGGGTGGGCCCCACAGCCGGTCTGTACGTCATGGAGAAGAGAAAATGTTTCTTTGCCGGAAATTGAACCCGGGCCGGTCTAGATACTGTGGAGAAGAGATGAATCTCTTGCCTTCGCCAAGAATCGGACTTCGACCCCTCAGCCTTCTAGCCCATAGCTGTCGCTTTTTATTTTAATTCGCTTAGTGGGGGTGGAGTCCAGTTGGGTCCACTCGGCACGGCGGCCACTGATTGGCCTATTGTAGCCTGCCCCGTATGATTATGATGATGATGAAGAATTTGGTGGAATGAAGATTGGCAGGGGAAATCGAAGTACTCTGAGAAAACTCGCCCCAGCGCCACTTTGTCCACCACAAATCCCACTTGACCAGACCCGGGTCGAACCCGGGCCGCCGCGGTGGGAAGACAGCGACTAACCGCTTGAGCTATGGCGCGGCCTTAACCGTCGCTATCCTGGCTCCGTTTAAATCGTAATTTTTGCGGCGGTTAATTAAGAACAGGGACAACATTATATTTTAAGCTCTAAAACATTCATCGAAGCCTAAAATATTAAGTTGTCGCTTTGTTTAGTTAACTCCCGCTCGATGTGACTTCAAGGGGAGTGGAAATGCAGCACCACGCAATCTTGGCAGTAGATGAGGCGACTCGTCAACTTGACTCCCCAGTCGTTTAGTGTAACTTTAAACATGTCGGAATAGGTTTTACTTATCTCAGGTCACATATAGTACATTTACGCAGATACTTTGAAATTGGCGTGCGAACCTCGGTTTGTACATTTGCGCATTACTCAAAATAGAAAAGTAAATATTCCGCTCAACACAAACAAGTGGAACTTCCAAATAAATTACAAAAAGAAAACAATTTATGTCTGCATAGGCAGTTTAGATTTCTCAATTCGCTTGTCTGCAAAACTCGCCTGGTTATATCTTCTTCATCTGTTTGGAATGCACTTTTTTGCGTCAGATGTTGCCATAGCAACGGCTCTTGAGGTGATATACGGGTCCGTCCTTTGTGCTCGCCCACGCTTTTCTTGCGTGGGGACAACACGAACAAAAAAGAAAAGATATCCCTCACATGGAAATGAGGCTGAATGCAAACCAAAGAGTCGAGGTGGGATTTATCACTGAAACACAGAGAAAATGAAGCAGATGTATATCAGCTGGGTTGCTGCTGTTTAGAAACCGGACTCTGTCTCGGAGACTGCTTTATCATGAAGACAAGAAAACAGGCATGGACTCATCTCGTTACTGTTTCGCATCCTCGGATTTTCTGCACTTAGGCCCCTACATTCCAGTGACTGGGAGACCTGTTGAGGCCGCTAGTTTCTTTGAGAATCCTTTTCTTTTGGTGCCTCATAATTTTGTATGTGGTACTCACTGAATATGGTATGCTTTACACAACAGTCACATGCTCTTTGTAATAATATAACAAAGTAACAACTACATGTTTCAACTACGAATAAATAGTTATCTTCAGGTTCGTAATACTTTAGAATAATCGATGCATGTAACCACTTCTTACAAAAACATCTCTCTTTTTAAATGGAATGCACTGTGTATGGAAGGGAACACGCGGTAGCATAGCTGCTTGGGGCTCCATGCTACAAGCCGGGTTGGATTCCCGATGAGGTCATTGGCTTTGTTTCAATTGACCTAGTCCTTCCAACTAAACTATGGTCCTGGGGTCGATTCAGTCTCTAACAGAAATGAGTACCAGGAAATTTCCTGGTCATAAAAGTTAAAAAGGACAGAATATGAATGTATTTTCAAGATTACTGTATTCTTGGATTTGAAGCAGGGTAGTCTGGTAAATGTTCACCTGTTACGTGACTTAACATCCCAGAAGACTGTCTTCATAGGCGCCTATGTGAGAACGTCAAATCTTACAAATACACGATCAGTGATGATTTGTTGTTTTGTTTTGCTGTCTTCAGTATACGGTTTGTAGTGGAATATTTTTTGTTTCCTTAGCTTTCATTAGTTGTCAGTGTTTAATGTGTGAGCTGTAACAAATTTTCTAAAGACAGGGTCCGATAACTTGCTTTTATGGTCGAGCTGATTAACGTTTGTAGTCCATAAAGTAGATAATTCTGTGACTGAGTATAGCTTGTGTATAGTAGGTAGAAATTTATTGTGTGTTATGTAAGAGTAAGGCACTGACTGAGAGGAATATGACGGAAGGCCGTCTTGCCCACTTCTTGCACTGGGCATCTGAATCAGATGCTGAGAACACATGAGCTTCTGAACATAAAATTGGGGGTGAATCTTCTGAACATCTGCAGTTCTATCTTCTGGAATATAACGCCATGTAGTCCGTTGAAAGCCAACCGAAATTTGGGAAGGACGTATTTCCTCCATGATCGAAGAACAAGCCAAGCAAGAAGCCAGCCTGAAGCAGGTAGCAAGCAGAGATCCTCTGAAAGCTCGATTGTCTTTCAATGTACTACACGATATTTTATCCCAGAAGATAGAGTTTTTCATTACTGTAAACTTTTAAGGAAGACTTTGTATGTGCGGTTATCTCTGGACCTCTGGGATGAGAGAGTGAATTGCCTCCATTTTCCTTTATGTCTTGCAGGTGGTCTTAGTGCAGGGTCACTACTTGTCCTTCCTGCCACTGTGTAGCCGCAACGAGCCAGTGTTCCTGGCCACGTGCACCCCGGTTGCCATGCCGGAAACGAGAGAGTGCGTGGTCCAGGGTGCCACCAATGTGTTCACCTCTATCCACTCGATGGACATGAAATTTATGCACATCGATAAGAAGTGAGTACTCCGTACGACTAATATGTGTACATTAAAATTTCTCTAGAGCGTAAATCTGTTTTTTTTTAAGTATTTTCTCCGGTTTTCATAAACCAGAAAGAACTATTTCAGTTTCTGAAGTTCCTGCAATAAAGATTTTAAAATGTGCAGCCTGTTCTATCATAAGGTGAAGTTGCTCCTGTGCTTAAGTAATTAAGCACTATGCCATGAAGGCGTATGAGGGAATGGAGATATAGCTCCACCATTATTGACCTCGGCATAGGATGGAGGTGATTGATCAGCTTCACACCCCAGTCGCTTTATCACCGGTGAAATCTCCCGCCGTAGCCAATGGATAGGAGGTTGGGTGGGAGGAAAATGTCATTAAATCATAATCATTTGTCATTAAATTTAAATTATAGAAAATAATTCCAACAACTGAGAGAATCCAGGAATATATATATATATAAAGGAGAGGCTCTTTTAGAAAAGAATCAGCCCTAGTTACTTAGAAGTCGATCCAGAAATCGAAGGTTAATTTCTTTCCAGAAGCAGTCTATTAGAGACACCTGATCTGTATTTAGGCTAATCCATTGAACCGAAATTTGTAAGGAGATTGACTGTTATTGTTATGCACGAAGACGCCTCAGGCAATGCTTTCCACACCGCGTTTCCAGTAATGGCAGGAGGAGTGGCATGTGCAGACAGATCTTCGTAATGGACTGCAGACATCTGAATTCGGTACACAAAAAGATTTCTTTGCGGAAGTAGTTGAAGTGCATGCGTTCTAATTCCCAGAGCGTCTGCTTGGATGATGTTCAAAGTACTTGTTTTGTGCTGACTCCTCTATGCACCAGCTCTTGTTTTGTGTCTACAACGGCTGAGGAGTGCTAGAGGCGATAGTGCATTATTGGAAAACCTAATGATAATCATCTGTCAAGTATGAATATTTACATATAACCATGTTAGTCTAGAGATGGGCTATGTGCTGGACGGCCAGGCTTCGTTTCACGATATGGCAAGAGATATCTCTTTAGTCCACACCGTTCGGAGAGAATCTATGGTCTAGTAGTCTCCTATAAAATGGGTAAAGAGGTAAAGAGGCTGGGGCGTGAAGTCGACCTCTGACCCTCATCTAGTGCCGAGGCCAAGAATGATGGAGGTATACCTTCACTCCCCCATAAGCCTTCATTACGTAGTGCCTAATTAATTAAACACAGAGACAACTTTACATGTACCTTATCATATTGGCATAATTTCTACTAAAGCAAAACACGTAATAATTATTTATAAATGGCCTATAGAAAATAGCTGTATTTTATATTGAATCGTATTTCATAGACAAAGCTATGTAGATCCCGAGACCACTTATTCTTTGGCTGTTCCTTCATTCATCTCTACAGCCCTTTCTTGGGACTTGGCCGATTTTTCAGTTTCTTAATCTTTTTGCACAGTAGATAGGACTCCTTTGATGGGGGGATCAGTCCGACGTAAGGCCGCTACCTGCACACAGAACAACAAAAACATAGAACAAACGCACACAGACATCCATGCCTCGAGTGGGATTCGAATCCACGATCCCAGCGTTGGAACGGGCGAAGACAGTTCATGCATCATACCGCGCGGCCACTGTGATCGGCCTTTGCCTGTTACGTTCCATGTTAACAGTGATGAATCAGTTTTAAGAGGTTACAAAGTATCAGATGAGATGAGATGAGCAAATTTTTATGAAAGAAATATTTGGAAAGAGCAACGTAATCGCGTCTGTTTCAACGTGTCAGTCCGCCCCTCCTCTGGAGAGAATAAATAAAACTTTAAGGACTTGGAAATTATTGTCTGAAAATACAAAATAAGTTACTTGCTCCCCAAAACTATGAAGAAAATACAAAACAAAATCCGTGGTTTTAGTCCGCAAGCGAACTATACCGACCGAGCGACCGCCGCTTGTCGGCGAAGTTAGTGCCAACTTTAGCGGATAGAGGATGTCGCGTGGTCAGCGCAACGAATCCCCACGGCCGTTAATCTCGGCTTTCTAGACCGGATGGTACGGAACAGTGGATTTTATTATTGTGGATTTGTTTTACGGAAAGCCCTCACTATGATGACATTTACACGTAGTAAAGATAAGTATCGGCACGCACACAAGAAGACTACACAGAATAACACCTATACAATACTAGAAACAAGAAGAAGCCGCTGCAGCACTATAGACATAGGGCGAGTAACCCTGACATTTTTAAAAATTTAAATTTAGAAAAAAATTTTAAAGGATTTCAAATTAGAACCGAAGATTTTATAAGTGCTAATCAGAAAGATCTATGCTTTTTAATTTTAAACGTTATAAATAAGTGCAATGTAACAGATACGTGAGTGTATACACCTGATGATGGCCGTTTGGGGCCGAAACATGTAGTGTATAAAGAAGAACAAAACGAAAGACCTATACATATAGTTTGCACTTAGGACGGAGTTATATCATATATCGTATAAAGTGCAACAGGATGCTTAAATATAATATTCGGATATTATATTGGACCTTCCAGGTATAGTTAGTTAAGCCTTATATTAATAATATTGGACTCTTGAAATCAGACTAAGGCGGAATGGAAGAAAGAAAGAAAGAGACGGCAGAACGACCAGGAAACGATTTATCATGCTGCACGCTTGGAACCTCCCATGGAGGCAGACTGCTACGGGAACACAAGTAATTCTTTATATTTGGTCAACGCCGTGTTTATTTGGGTCAATAGTATTGATACGTTCACATAATCTTCCGAGGTCTGCATAAGAGGATTGCTCCTTGATGAGACCATATGGTTGTTGTATCTTGCTTATCGTTCTGACAGTTAATCTGATTACAAAGACATACACGTACATGATGGGCCAAGAAAAATGACTCGATTTCTCAGAATGTTTTATTATAGTCATTTTTATCCTATTGTTAAAGAGTGGGATCTCGTTTCGGATTAATAGTATAACTTCCCTCTAGACTTCTAATGGCTAGAAAATATAAGCGCGTGCCGAGATAAGAATGTATGGAGGGGAGTGTCCTATCGTTGCTAGGTCCCGTGGAAGAGCCTTAGCATAAATCGTGGCTTTCTTTAACCTGTTGAGTGTTCCATGTTGTGTTTCTGTCCGTGAAGGCAGTTCACAAATATTAGGCTTACTTAACTCCGAATATATCAGCTTGCATTACACAATCAACATCAGCTCCAAACTGCATAATGAGGAGTTTCATAACTTGATCACTTCTCCAAGTAAAATTAGAATGATCAAGACAAGGAGGATGCGATGGGCAGGGCATGTAGCATTAAAGGCGGAGAAGAGGAATGTACGAGTATATAGGATATTGGTGAGAAAGTCAGAAGGAAAGAGACTACTAGAAAGACAAAGCCGTAGGTGGGTGAGTAATATTAAGATGAATCTTAGAGATGTAGGATGGGATGGGTTGGATTGATCTGGCTCAGGATAGGGACCAGTAGAGGGTTCTTGTGGACACGGTAATGAACCTGTAGGTTCCATAAAATGCTGGGAAATTCTTGAGTAGCTGCACAATTGGCAACATCTCAAGAAGGGCTGAGCTCCATGAGGATAGTTAACTTTATTTCGGGCTCCGTCATCATGCCATTAGGTTGTCGGGCCGTGTTGTCTGTTACGGTTTCTTACGATCTCTACCATGGTTTTTCCTAAGCTGCTCTTTCCCCGAGTCTTACAGGCTTTAACAAAGTAATTCCATCAAACCGCAAGCACCTTCATGTATCCAAGTTTCATCCTTCGACTGTATAGTTGTAAAGGCATGTAGTGACTCTAAGAATGGAACACAGAGTTCGTGGGATGTAATTCTACCCAAGGTATGCATGTATGCCCCCGTTTCTTTGTTGTTTTGTACTTCCCAGGCAGAGATCATCGAATGGAATTGTCTTACTCCCAGGGAATCCTATCATATTCCAAGATTCATAGTTTCTGAATGTATTTTATATCGAAAGCTGCCCAAGGGCCTTGTACATGAAAGTTGACGAAGAAGAAGAATAACATATAAGCAAGTGCACATTCTCCAGCTAATTGGAACATGGAAGTTGCCAACAGACAAAACGTCATGCAGTTGGTTACTTTTAATGTCATTCTTCTCCCCTTTTCTTCTTCTTCTTCTTCTTTTTCTTGCGCAGACACATCTTTCTCGGCATGAGCGACCTTCTTTTTGAAATAAATAATTGCCTGGGATGGTTGGCGCAGTGATGAGGGCGTCATGCCTTTCTCTTTGTACAAAACTCAGACGTCTGCGGAACCTTCTCCCTCCCGCATTTCAGACTTCGCTTTTATGTGACCCCTTTGCCCCGTTGCCCCAAGCTATCTGTTCCCCCCCTTCGACGCCTCTATCTCACGGCCTGCCGATGATTTACTGAGCCCGTAAGATTATCTACACCCCCGCCTCCTTTAGACTCCCCCTTCCCTATAAGGAAACTCCTCACGACAAAGAAACATCATCAAAACTAGAGCAACATCAGACATGAGAGGTCAGAGTCCATGAGTCCCACAGCAAGCCTTTCTCTTGAGAGGTTCGCATATTTGTTTTTGGGGCTGTTGCAATATCAATTTTGTCTTCTTTGGCACTTCATTAAATCTCTGTCATATACCTGAAGACGGAACAACGAGAACCCGATGCCCCGTGCTCCAATCAGAAACCATCAACGACATCTTGATTTCACGGCTCTAGTTTCTTTCTTTATTCTGCATTTCAACGTCACGAAGTTTTGCTGTTTGGTTCGTGAAGACCATAACGGTATTGTGATGACAATCTGGGAAGGCCAGCTGCCCCATGGATTTGGTTGTCGAAGATTTTAAATTTTGAATACAGTATCAAATTTTGGCAACACTAAATGTAATTTATCTCCTGTCCACATGACCATCATCGTTAGAATTATAAAGAATTTGGATTAGAATTTAAATCGTTACATTACGAGCAAGCAAAAGTAATCTTCACAACTTTGCAGGCATGCTGAGTATTGTGGTGGCATTATTCT